ACAGAACAGAATGATTCTCTGTTGTCTCTCCATCTCATTAGTCTGGTTATTCTTGGAAGCCGGGGAATTCTTGCCTCGTATGCTCCCTTCGGTACGCTGCTCCATTAAGCTTGTGTTCAGGTCTGGTTGTATGGAGAGTTGCTGGTTCGGCTGCTAGATGTAGTGCTAAGGACTTGGCTGAGGCCAAGAGATCTCCCCGGCTAGCTCTGCTCTTAGGGACTCTGGGCTGTCTGGTTTAATGCATGAGTCCAGAGTCAGAAACGGTTGATCATTGGAGGCTTCTGGGTTTTTTCCTAGCACATATAACACTGAGCTTCTCGGGAGCAAAGCTGTGGTGTCACAGGATCCATCTGAATTGGTTACTGATGCATTTAGGTTTCTCTGGGTCAAGGCACATTGAGTCCTTGTGAAGAAATGTCCTTCTTCACTGCTGCAAGCGGCAGCACTGGCACACATATTCACACACACTTTTCTCACCTGTTGATGCCGCTATTGGAGAAGCGGGTGCACACGCGATTCCGATAGCACTTAGTCATTCATCCACATTCCATACTTCCCCTCTGTTATTCCTTCCAGACATATCACTCATTCTCAATATTTGTTTGTTTTATGTATTAATATTAAATCGTGTGTTATATGTTGGCGTAACCGGGTTGCTGGGAGCTGTGGTAGCGGTAGCGCAGTGGACCGGAACCCAGTGAAACCATGTTGTGCCTATATGTGGGGTAGCCAAGTTTTAGGTTAAAAGACACACAGTAGTTTGAGTTATGGTGGTTTTGTTTATTATGTTATGTTTATTGAAATTAGTTTGTATAAAGTTTGTTTTGTTATAAGGTGGGGATGTATGTCAATCTGAATGTGGAAGATATCACCTTATGACACTTACCTATTAATGGTGGTGCCCGAGAAAAGGGGCAGAGTCTGGCCTTTAAAAGCAGCAGCCAGACTCCAGAACAGGACTTGTTTATTAAAGTGGGTCGCACACCGGACGAGAAGCGCAGCGCCGCGTCGCGCCACGTCTAGGACAACTCCAGGTATCGCACACCGGACGCGCACATTCTAATGGCGCGAGCACAATTTTGAATCAACTCCTGGTAGAAGAGCTGCACGATGTGTGTTTTATCTTGATTTATTACTTATTTTTTTATGTTCATTGAATAATAGCTGATGTTTGAACGTTAATCAAGTAAAAGTGTCTATCACGTTGAGTCTGTTATTTTGTTGTAACGTTATCCGTTGTCTAGGCAACTATGTCACATAATACAATAGTATTTATTTAGCTAGCGTTTAGCTAACCCGAGTGAAAACAGCACAGGGTGAAGCCATGTACATTAACGACGATTTGAGACAAATAAATGCAAATTTAATATAAAACTATGCAAATGGCGCTCTGTGGCGCGGCAGGGTTTTGAACAAGGTCCTGAGCCGTAGCTGGGCGCCGCGGACAGACGCCGAATGGCGCCGCCGGTGTGTGTACACTCATTGAGAATAATGTGTTCGAATTTTAAAGACCTGGCGCTGCGCGACGCGGCGCTGCGCTTCTCGTCCGGTGTGCGACCCCCTTAACGCCCCAGTAAAGTGATGGGGACATTATACTGTAACAAGCACCGTCCTTCGGATGAGACGTTAAACCGAGGTTCTGACTCTCTGTGGTCATTAAAAAATCCTAGGATGTCCTTCGAAAGAGTAGGGGTGTAACCCCGGTGTCCTGGCCTAATTTGCCCCTTGGCCCCTGTCCATCATGGCCTCCTAGTCATCCCCATATACTGATTGGCTTCATCACTGTCTCCTCTCCACCAGTAAGCTGGTGTGTGGTGGGCGTTCTGGCGCACTATGGCTGCCGTCGCATCATCCAGGTGGAGCTGCACATTAGTGGTGGTTGAGGAGATTCCCCCTTCTATGTAAAGCACTTTGAGTGCAGAGAAAAGCGCTATATAAATGTGACAAATTATTATTTAAATACAAATTACATTTGATTTTCCCAAAGGCTTCAAAATAGTATTTTGTATTTCAAATACGTATTTTAAATACATATATCTGAAATACTGCCCATCCCTGGCCAGAGGATACTGTATATTCTCCTTGTTTTGTTAATGTAAACAACGCATAAAATGCAGTTCTCTGTGTCCGCCTGTGATTTGAGAGCTGTCGCATGAGAAGCGTTACATTCACTCAAAAGTTTTCGGCTGTAAAGTAACAGAAGGAGGCCATAAAACAGATCTTGCCTTGCCGTGGTTTTGCCCCCAATGAAGCCAGAGCCCCGAGTCCTCACCAGGCTGGTCTGCGCTTTCGTCGCATGTCGCAACTCGCCCGCCATCTCTATAGCCTATATAATATATGTATACCCACTTTAGGCTTCAAAAATGCTCTTCAGAAACACTACGCGTGACGTCACACGCGCATTCCATCCATTGTTTGATACAGTCTGGGTAGAGCTTAGATCGGGCCCAAAAAATCAAGCCCGACCCGACCCGAACCCGTTGTGTCCAGGCCCGGCCCGGCACATTAACTGTAATTATGAGTCCGAGCCCGATTTAAACCCGACCATTTTTAATACGTGGTCCGTTATAACCAGGGGCGACGCCAGATCAATTTTAACGCAGGTGCTGAATCCAATAGCGTCTGCAGCGCAATTTTATATATATATATAAAATACTAATAAATGTGCAAAAATTGGCCACTTAATATTTAATATTCAATTATTTAAATTATCACAATGAAAGTTTTAATTTTGTTAAATTGAACAAGCACTACATTCAGCATTCAATCAAATATTCTTAAAGATTCATTATTATTATTAATAATGTTATTTCGACATGTGTGCGTGCAACAAGCAAGATGTGAATTTGTAAATTCGGTGACAAGCGTGCCGAGAATTTATTTAATGTGACTTTACAATAAACAGTTTTTAATTGCTTTTTAAATTTTTTTTATCTCAATCGTCACTTAAGATAAATCAGCATTTTTTTTCTACAAAATGTGACTTGTGTGGCATTAGAAGAGCATGATGTCTTCGTTATTTCTGTTTAAAATGTTTCTGCTGTTTCTTTATGCTTGACATTTATTTAATAACATTGTTTGGGAGACTACTTATTAAAATGGTGTATTACTCTAAACTGTTCCTCTAAGAAAAAAAGTATCCTAAAATGCTGATTGTAATAGAACTGATTCTGGATGCTGATTGGTCAATCCAGAGTTCCAGTCTAAAACACACCAACTAATGTATAACCTTTTTTTTTTTTAAAAAGTTTTACCTTTGTATAGATTGAATATTTGAAATGGTTGGTTTTATGAACTATAGGGTCAATTTTTTTTATAATTTCCAAATAGAAATTGCTGACACACTAAACAAAGTTAAATAATATTGAGTAGATTCGAAAATACAGGAATATGTAGAGGATCAAGCACCAGAACAATCAATAAAACATGAGTTACAACAGCAAAAGATGGAAGCTGCTCAGGTGTAATAGGAGACAATTTCATGTTTCATTCACAAGTTAAACAAGAGGGCCCTAAAGCTCAATCTTCTCTGCTTAGACACCATAGAAGTGAGATGAACTGTAGAATTAACATTTTAATTTATGTTTTTTGTTCAACCGACTATATGATCAAATAATGTAAAAAAATATATAATAAAATGAAAACATTTTTAAAATGAATATTACGTAAAAGGATAAAAATGGCTTTCAATTAACAGGTCAATATAAAATGTTATAGAATATAAATAACATAAAAATGTAAATAAATATATCTATTAAAACACATGCTACCAATTTAATGTTTAGTGGTTTTGCCATGAATAGCCTACTAATACTTGGTAATGCAGGCTTATTAATTAATCTAATACCGATGATATACAAACATAGACCTTATATATTATAGACCTTTAACTTAAGTTTACAATTCAGTTTAGTGTGTGGTCAGTAACATGATAAACATTCTCCTGTGACAACGCAACTTTAATCATTGAACTTTAACCTTAAACATGCAGAAATATTCTGTGCATGTCATGCCCCCCGGGTTGGGTTAAGTACCACATTCTGCCTCAAGATGGCGCTACATTTGCATGGTTATCCTTAAGTATCTATGCCCTAAAATACCAAATAAACCTGATTTTGCAAGGCATAAGTGAGCTATTTAATATGAATGTTTGAGACTCCTGATCCATTAGGAAAACAACTAAAAGAAGAACTTTCTCATTAGATGGTGACACATTTTTAGTATTTATTTTTTATTTAATTATTATATGTGATCGTTTTTTTTTTTTATTCATAAAGTCAAATGGTTTGAGAAAATGCCTGTATTTGACCTGACATTAAAATATATTTGGAAACAATATCTAAAAGTAATAACTTAAAAGCAATACGAGAAATGCAACTGTTCAAGAGATACGTTTTTCTATGTTTTTCTTTCTATATACCCCTGACGTGTTTGGTTATATTGTTTGTCCAATATGCTTGTTTCTCATTACAAAAAACAAAAATATTAGACGCAGAATAACAGTAACAATATTTGCACTCTTAAACTTGATCTGCATCTGCCCATTAGACGAGCCTCTTCAGCGCCTGTTTTTAAATCGCTTCTTAAAACCCACCTTTTCTCCTTGGCCTCTGACACCTGACGTTGACATTTTGATTATTTATTTACTGTTTTTATGCTATGTTTATTTTTACTATGTTTTATGTCTTTTGATTTGTTTCATCTGTATTATATTCTTTACATAAAGTATGTATTTTATATTTTTTGTTTATTTTTCTGTACAGCACTTTGGTCCACTTTGGTTGTTTTAAAGTGCTTGATAAATAAAGTTTGATTTGATACAAACCAATGTGTTCATGATTATGACACCCCGATGTAACCCTGAAAAAGCAGAAGCAACATCATGTCACGTGCAGAAGTGTGTCCCTTTCCCACGCCTCAAGCTAATCATTACAGCTCCTCAACAATCATTACACACCGACTCGACTCTCTCCTGTAATCTCAGTCTGCTTACACACACCTGTATGTGAAGAAGCATGGCGGTGGACGAGGAGGCCGGCAGACCCACATGGAGCCGGCAGATCGAGTTCACTCTGGCTGGGATCGGGTGTGCGGTGGGACTGGGGAACATCTGGAGGTTCCCGTATCTGTGCTATAGGAGCGGTGGAGGTGAGACACACACACTAATGCTCCATCACTTACAGAGAGCACCAGCCAAAAGACCAGCAGTGTTATTGGGGAAAGTTCGAAAAGTAATGCGTGTTATTCACTTAAAAAGCAACGAATTGCATTCCTTAGTTATTTTTTAAGATAAGTAATGCGTGACATTACTTTTGGGTTACTTCTCATCCAGGCTTGTTTTCTTTTTTTTAGCAAAAAATATATATTTTTGGGCAAATGTGCAGTTCACACTAAATTTAAATGATAAGACTGAAAGAAATGCAAATTCAGGCAGCTGTGCTGCCATAACAGAAGAATAGGATGCAGGAGAAGAAAGTTATACATTTACTTCACCAATAAAAACAAAACAAGTCATTTTTACTTGTGGTTTAACTGAATCATCGAAGTGAGATTAAATGCATAAAAAATATTTTTTTTATTTAAAATATTTAATTATTGGAGGTTAATTTGATTTTGCATTTCACTGATTTTATTCATTTTGAGGAATCTTTTTTGCAAGTGAGATTAAAAGCTCTCATTAAGTCTAGAACTGCATTAACCATGATGTTTACACACAACGCCTCAGCACTTACTCATGATTCGTCTCAACATGAGGACAGGAGAGCTGTCTGTCAATTAATGGGAAAACAAAGTAACTTGCGTTACTTCTTTGAAAAAGTAACTCAGATATTTTGTTGTAAATTTAAAAGTAATGCGCTACTAGTTACTTGAAAAAAGTAATCTGATTACGTAACTCGAGTTACTTGCAATGAGTTACACACTTGTCCCGTCTACGAAACCGGTCTGAAGATGTTTATTGGGTATTTTATTAAGATATTTATCAATACGCATTATTAGTGGCCCTTTAGTGTGGAATAACTGGCACTATGAAGCCATGCACATGTCTATATGACAGCAGAGTTTGTTATTCAACAGTTTCACCTTTACCTTTCAGACTGTAAAAGCTAGAACGACCACACATCCACAGTGTGACAGGTGATGGATGAGTTTATCTGTAACTGTAATGGTGTGTAAGATCAACCATGACACTGCAATCCCTCTCAGATCACACTGGACACCTTTATATTGCTATAATGATTACGTGTAACTATAGTGTTATCTGGTTCAGAGTTTTAATTATTTATTTTATTATTAGCTATTTCGATCTATACATTCAGAAATTACATTTATATATTCACAACTATAGGTGAAACTCGAAAAATTAGAATATCGTGCAAAAGTTCATTTATTTTAGTAATTCAACTTAAAAGGTGAAACTAATATATTGTATAGACTCATTACATGCAAAGTGAGATATTTCAAGCCTTTATTTGTTATAATTTTGATGGTTATGGATTACAGCTTATGAAAACCTTTTCACAATATTCTAATTTTGAATAAGCTGTAAGCCATAATCATCACAATTATAACAAATAAAGGCTTGAAATATCTCACTTTGCATGTAATGAGTCTATATAATATATTAGTTTCACCTTTTAAGTTGAATTACTGAAATAAATTAACTTTTGCACGATATTCTAATTTTTCGAGTTTCACCTGTATATTTCTATTAACATATATATATATATATATATATATATATATATATTCTGTATATATATATTCAGATTTCCTTTTATATAGGCCTATTTATGAAGGGCCAAACAGGAAATTTTATATATATATATATATATAAATGTAAATCCAAATATATATTTATAACATATATAATTATTACATATATAATTATATTTTAGAAGATTTTCTATATCACCATCTGATAGGTTTGACAAGCTTCTGTTATGAAATGGTTGAACTGAACTGAAGTGAAGTGAACTGAACTGAACTGAACTGAAGTGAACTGAACTGAACTAAGCTTAACTGAAGTGAACTGAACTGAACTGAACTGAACTGAAGTGAAGTGAAGTGAAGTGAAGTGAACTGAACTGAAGCGAAGTGAACTAAACTGAACTGAAGTGAGCTTAACTGAACTGAACTGAACTAAGCTTAACTGAAGTGAAGTGAACTGAACTGAACTAAGCTTAACTGAAGTGAAGTGAACTGAACTGAACTAAGCTTAACTGAAGTGAACTGAACTGAACTGAACTGAACTGAACCGAACTGTATGTTATCACCTGTGCCTCTTCAGTGAAGTGTTGTTGTGGTCCCTGTGGTCCTCAGGTGCGTTCCTGGTGCCGTACCTGCTGATGCTGGTGGTGTTGGGGATCCCACTGCTGCACATGGAGCTGACCCTGGGCCAGTACCTGCGGAGGGGACCCGTACAGGCCCTCGCCAAAGCCTGTCCCCTGCTGAAAGGTCACCGCATGCATAATCATGACGTTAAAGTCCCTGAGATTAACTGCAATGTCAATGCTATACACCGTGGAAGTGTTGTGACAAACAAGTCCTTCAGAATCAGATCAATACAGACATAACTGTCACTGATATGAGAATATATGGTTCAGTTCCGACTAAAGGTCAGTAACCTGTAATCAATCTATCCAGGTGTTGGCATGGCAACGGTGGCCATCTCTTTCATCATGTGCACATACTATAATATAATAATCACATGGGCGCTGTACTACATGTTCAGCTCATTTCGAAGCGAGCTGCTCTGGGAAAACTGCAATAACACCTGGAACACGGCGAACTGCTCGGACCGGGCGAGCAACGGCTCCTCGTCCTCCACCGCCAGCCAGCAGTTCTTCAAGTGTGTGCATTCCCTCTTCTTCTTCACTTAATCATTTAACCACCATAGATCAAAATCAAGCCAAGTGTCGCTATAGCACTTAATGCAATACAGATTGTTTCAAAGCAGCTATTGCTAAACTGTTCCCCCAATATTTTATATTTTTGAAGCTGCTCTCCATTATGCACCGCTCTGTTTGTTGTTAGAATGATGGAAAGTTCCCCTGCAGTCAATCATTTAATCCCTTAAAACTCACCAAAATTACATATTTAAAGTTTTTTTCTTGAAAAAAACATTTTTATGCCTTAAAATATCTTGAATGTAACTCGACACCCTTGATTCATTTAGTATGCGTGGTTCTATTAATATGCAAATGAGCCCCGCCTCCACTCACTCACTCAGCTCAGAGATCCACTGGTTGACGATCACACGTTGATCTGATTGGTTACAAGGTCGTTTGTGACGTCAGAAACACCAGCGATTTCAAACCGTGTGTTTGAGACTGTCTTTGGTTCACTGCAGTTTTAAGCAGCATATTAAAAACAGCACATAGACATTTAAACAACATTAAAAACTTGATTTTCACCACAGGGGGACTTTAAGACTTTAAGTATTGATGCTGAAAAATCAGCTTTTCAATCACAGGAGTAAGTGAGTGTATATTTTAAACGTGCATTAATATAAAATAAAAAAGTTTTATTATATATTAAAATAGAAAACAGGTATTTTAAATTGCAAAAAATATCTCACAATATTACTGCATTTTAATTAAATAAATGCAGCCTTGGTGAGCATAAGAGACTCTTTCAAATAACTTAATACACCACAGGAGGATTTTAAAGGGTAACTAAACCCTAAAGCAACTTTTTTTAGTTAATGCTCTGTAAGACTGGGGCTTTATTAATGCTGGTCATTGATTCAAGTCATTTTTTTGACATTTGGGTATAAAGTGTTTTAATTCTACAATATATGGTGTAAAAACGTCTGAGTGCTGCCCTCTTCAGGTTGAACGGTGGCTACTGCAGTTGAATTTTCCTATTGGAAGTTGTGGTGCCCTGTGATGTAAGCAGGCACCAGCTAACCACGCCCCCTTGCCTACAGAGAGACCTGTCTCAGGTGCACCCATCCCCCCCCACCCCCTCAGCTGGGCTCCGCCCACTTTTCCAGCATTTTTCAAATATTGCCAGTGGGTGGAGTCAGGCTCTGACCAGGGGTTTAGTTACAGTTACCCAGTAAAGTTAAGTTAGATTTTTAGACTGGCCTCAGTGGTCTAACAGCTCTCGTCAATGTCAAAATGATTGAGATGACCAATGAAATCAAAGGAGGCGGGGCTTCACTTCACAGAAGCTGTGCATGAAGTCAATATAGTGATTCTATAGTTTCAAGGGTGAGAGAGTATGAGATAGTCTACTGGAAGTAGCTAAATATTTAATTTTAACTAATGTTTTACAATAGAAATGCTAAACGTCCAACAATATCCAACTCAACCGCTTGTGAAACGTGTGCTTAACTGTAATGAATGTGCACTCAAATCTGTACTTGCAGTTATTATTAATGAAATGTAAGACCACGATTTCAGAGTCACTTTCATGACTGTTTCTAAACACACTTTAAGAAGTGCACTTTTTAATAATGTCAAAATAAAAGTTTTACTTTAAAGTATATTTTAAATGATTATGTTTTAATAATCTTTTGTTGTGCTTTAAAAAGTGCATGTGTGTAACTTCATGTGTTGACTAACATACTAAAGCACATGTTAAGTACTTTTTTTGAGATTACATTTAAAGTTAATACATTTTTTTAAATTCCCTAAATGTGACATTAGGATATTTAATTAATAAATTATTCATTCAATTAAAAATAAATTATTCATAGAATTGACTAAATATATTTCAGTTTAGCAGTATATTCTGCAGTACACTTTAACCATATTTTAAAGACAATAGACATAATCATATAACATCTTACTTAAGTGGGTCAGAACTTCAACTAATTGCATTTAATATTATTTATTAATAATTAATACATTTTCATTTAATAGCAAATAAGTGTCCAAAAACAAAACATTCAGTTTGCACTTAAACATATTCTTTACAAGTATATTATTTCCATAATAAGTACACTTTTTGAAAGTATATGCAGAAGTGGGCTTCTTTTTTGTCAAATTTCATGTAATTCATAACTGAATATGATGTTTCGGCATATTAGGTATATGATTAAGAGTGATGGTGTGCATTTTTTTTTTTTAATGCACACATTTTGTACAACAAAAACTGCTCAAGACATGGTTACGGCCTTGCTAGATTGGTCAGTGAAGTGTTCTGATGTTGACTGCAGTGTGTGTGTGTGTGTGTGTGTGTGTGTGTGTGTGTGTGTGTGTGTGTGTGTGTCAGTTTTAAGGTGCTGGAGAGGACCAGTGGTGTGGAGGAGACGGGTGTCTTGAGATGGGAGCTCTTCCTCCTGCTTCTGCTGGCCTGGATCCTCGTCTACCTCTGCATCTTTAAAGGGGTCAAATCCACCGGGAAGGTGAGAACACACAGTCATCCTCATGCATTACAAGTTACGCCAGTTATGTAATCAGATTACTTTTTCAAGTTACTAGAAAAGTAATGCATTATTTATAAATTTACAACAAAAATAGTTACTTTTGCAGCAAATGAACCCTTCAGCAAGTTACTTGTTTACCTTTCATTGACTGACCGCTCTCTTGTCCTCATGTTGTCCACAGTGAAATGCACAATCAGAATATTACGCAAACCTGCAATAATTAAATATGTTAAATATCGCAAATATACTTTATCTATTTAATGTCACTACTTTATTAAACAACGTCTTTGCTGCTGACTTTCGATGATACAATTCAACCATGAATGACTTTAGATTAAGATCACATTTGTGTTTCTTTTTCTTCTTTTTTTATTGCTGAAGAGTGTTGAAGTTAAAGGTTTGTTTGAGCAGCGCCCTCTATTGTACAGGTGTCAATGTGCATAAGCTTCAGCCTGAGGCTTATTCATGTCACTTTTTAGTGTGAAAGGGCCTTTATATTTGCTAAAAACAGAACAACAATCAAAAAAGCCCAGCCCAGGTGAGAAAAAGTAATGTAACACAAAAAAGTAACTAAGTAACGCAATTAGTTACTGTTTTATAGGGAGTAACACAATATTGTAACTCATTACTTATAAAAGTTACTTTACAACACAGGTCACATTACTGATTTTATGTTTCCTGCAGATCTTTTTTTTCTAATTGAAAGTTTTTTTGGTATTGACAGAGATCATTCAAAAGAAAGAAATAAAGAGCACATAAACAAATCATACATAAAAGAAAATCCCAGATTAGGCTGTAAAATACAATAAAATACAAAGTGATAAACAATTGAGGAAAATACAAAATTATGCAAAATTAAATATAATGTTTTTTTAATTATATTTAATTTTTATTTATTTAATTTTTATTTACCCATTTATGTGTTTTTTCCCCTGTTTCCAAGAACATCATGGTATTATCATGTTACCATCTCCTAAATACCATTACTGCAAATTCAGCAAGACATGAACAGGAAAATACATCAATTATAGTCATGCACTGCATTATATTATTTTAATGACAATTAAACTCACCTTATCCTTAATTACTATCCTTTTATTTGTATTTCTCTCCAGATTTTCCATGTTTATGTTTGTGAGTTGATCTTTACACATGTTGGTCACAGGTTGTGTACTTCACCGCTCTGTTTCCATACGTGATTCTCCTGGCCCTGCTGATCAATAACGTGCAGCTGCCGGGAGCCATCGACGGCATCCGCTTCTTCATCATCCCCGAGTGGGACAAGCTCCTGAATGTGGAGGTGCGGAATATATTACAATCCTTTATCATTCAAATACTACCTGTTTTGTAGTTCAAATGATTAGTTTGACGCACAAAAAGCAGTGCATTTGGTATTACTGCATTTAGATAAAACTAAATAATGTGCATAAATTGTGTTTTGGGGATTTTTGTTGTGACTACACTGCAAGAAATGACTTTCTAGTACAAATATCTAAACATTCTTAAAGATAAATGTACTCGAGAATGACTTAAGAATTCTTGCTCTATGAAAAATGTATAAAAAAAATGAAGTGACTTTATGCTTAAACCAAGACCAATGAGGTCAGAAAAATAAACTTAATTCAAAGGAGAAAAAAAAATATTTTTCTGACCCCATTGTTCTTGTTTTAAGCAAAACTCACTTAATTTTGATACATTTTTCCTTTTGCTTCTTCAGTAAATATATCTTGATTTAAGAAATTTTAGATATTTGGAATGGAAAACAAGACAAAAATGCTAAGTAAGAATTTTTTTTACAGTGTACTTATGTTAAATAAATGTATTGTCATTAACTACATTAATACCATAATTTAAAGGTGCTATATGTATTTTTTAGCGGCCTCTATCGGTGATGTTTCAGATTGCAACCAATTTTTACAAGAGCGCTCGTGCTCGAACACAAGAGCGATCACTCATGGCACCGGCCACACGGAGACTTTCAACACACCGGAGAAAGCATCACACAACATGCTGGAAACTCATGTAAACTCCCACTGCAACGGTACAATAATAGGCTACTTTTATCAGCTTGACGTTGAACTAATGCTCCATCCTCGTACCATGATAACGTTACATGTGGTGTTATCTAGCATAAGGCATTTCACTAACTATTCGTGTATCTTTCACAATCAGCAATGTCAACATAGGTGAGTGTATAATATGATAACGAAAACGGTTAGTGAACTAGACTGAACAATTTCAGTGTAAAAGTAAGATCGTAGGAAGTAACATTACTGTACTGAACGTGTCGGAAATGTGTATTATAAACAATATGTCTCTCCATAATTCAAACGCTCTGCCGATGTTGATCCGTGTTTTCGATCCGATTCCCGTTTGGCCTGACGAGCTTCAGCGGATACATTTTTGTTTTGTTTTGTATATTTATGTGGAGTTTGTGTTGGAGTGTGTGTTGTGCTGGAGGCAGGTCGTGTTTAGTGTTATCAGACTCAATGTGGTCAGCTGCAGTGCCGTCGCATAGACTGTATATAAAAAGGAGAGAGGCTCGGGAGCGCACATGCACGTCACATCCGATGGCTTTCGCAGAAAATACGACCCGGAGACTTCATATAGAAATAGGAATACTGGCCTTCAGAGGTAATAGCAAAACCCGACAAGTGGATCATTGTAATGTGTGATTACAACCCCTTCACACACAGGCAATAAAAAAAGGATTCATTTAAGAAGAAAAGTTATAGAGCACCTTTAAAAGTTCACTTTTGGCCCTCTTGCGGTTGAGATTTGAGATTTAGCGGCTCCATGTCAACCTTTCTCGCTTGTTGTGATGACTAACCTCTGCCAGAGACACACACACACACACACACACACGTGACGAGACACACACGAACAAGTACGCTATTTCCTGCGAAAACCATCCCGACAGTTATTTTTATATATACTTATAACAGGCTTACCATAGTAAATCAGGGTAATAAGACAAAACAGGCTTTGAAAGAAAGATTGATGATGTATTGACTCATTTAATTCTCTTTAATTTTTAACCAAAAAAGCTACATAGTGTGGGCTTACCTTTAACATGTTAAGTTTGGCAGCCCTGATTAAAAAACGAATGATGGTAAAGATGTGAATGATTGAGAAATGAAAGCTGCTGTGTGTGTGTGTGTGTGTGTGTGTGTGTGTGTGTGTGTGTGTGTGTGTGGCTCTTGAGACAATGCTGTGCTTGTTGTCGTCCAGTTACACATTATGTTTGTTTCACTGTGTTTCATATTGACATTGTGTAATGTGTGTGTGTTTAGGTGTGGATTAATGCGGCGGCTCAGATCTTTAACTCAATCGGGATCGGCTTCGGCTCGCTGATGGCCATGTCCAGCTACAACAACTTCAACAACAATATCCTCAAGTGAGAGAAGATCAACCCGTATTATCATCATCTCCAGTTTAAATACTGTGTGTCTTGTTGCATACAACACACACCATCTCTAATCTACTTTCCTGAAAGTTAGATACAATCTAGTTGTATTGGTGTATCGCTCTAGAGCGAAGTTCACAGTGATAATTCATTTATTGCTCTCATTAATTTATACTGCCATGTATTTAATGTTATATATCATCAGGGCTCAGTGAGCAGAGAGAAATAAAATAAGATATTCATTAGCATTGATTTAATCTCATATTCATCCTTTTTTTATTCCCGTCACTGTAGAGATACTCTGGCCATTTCCATCACCAACTCCTTGACTAGTATTTTCGCTGGATTTGTCATTTTCTCTGCGTTCGGCTACATGTCTCATCTGCAGAACGTGCCCGTCAGTGAGATCGCAGTGGACGGTGGGTTATTTCAGTGTTGATTCCTTTACTTTACCGTTTTTGGTAACACTTTACTTGAAGGGGTGTGCATAAGACTGACATGACACCTTAATAACCATGACATGACATATGAAGTAGGGTTTATGCATGTTTATGACAACTGGCATTAAGTGTCATTCGCTCAATTATGACATTTTGAATGCAAATATGACATTGTTTGAGATGTATTTGTTATGACATCTTGACATAAACCATAACATCATAACCTGTCAGTGTCTTTGTCATGACAACTTGACATTAAATTAAGTTAAACTGTCATGTGGTTGGTTTTGACATTGGCTGTCATAAGGCCATTATAACTGTGTCATGAATATTTTTCTTGTCCTCAACTACAGTGGTACACATTGAACTTGTCATTAAAAAGTTATAATGGCTTCATGACAGCCAATGTCAAAACCAACCACATGACAGTTTAATGTAATGTTACCCCATAAAGCTAAGTGGTTTCTGAAGTTTGATAATTAATGTGCTATGACATGTTTATGACAGGTTGTGTTGTCTTAGTAATGTCAAGGTGTCATAACAAAGACATCTCAAACAATGTCATATTTGCATTAAAAATGTCATAACTGAGCGAATGACACTTAATGACAGTTGTCATAAACATGCATAAAACCTCCTTCATATTCATAACATGTGTCATGTCATGATTATGAAGGTGTCATGTCAGTATTATGAACACCCCTTCAAGTAAAGTGTTACCCTGTTTTTTATAATGTTTGGCATTGATAAATCTGCTGCATGGTGCATATCATAATTATTGCATCTGCCTTAAATCTGCATGGTGCATATTATAATAATTCTCCGTGCAGGTCCAGGTCTGGTGTTCGTGGTTTACCCACAAGCCTTTGTGACGATGCCTGTCGCTCCTCTGTGGGCCGTTCTCTTCTTCTTCATGTTACTCTGCCTCGGCCTCGACAGTCAGGTCTCATGACCACACTTTTCAACTATACACATACCCGGTTATTGTGACCTGTGTTATATTGTGCTAATATGATGTTCTTATAATGAATTTTTATTGTATTCATAAACACTAAAAAGTAGGTCAAGGTGTTAATGCATAACAAGAGACGAGGTCACATGATCTGCTTTCATTTTCTTTAATGCTACTTGTGATTTCCAACAGTATAACAGTAAATACATGATTAAACATTGCTTGTGAGATCATTTGGGGGTGAATCTCACAAAACATTTGAGAAACATAACCAGGTCATTCTGTATTTCAACCTTGCACTGTTAGAAATTACACAGTATTTAACTGTAAAATGTATTTTACTGTAGGACAGTTATACAGCATGTTACTGTATTTTAAAGTTGCATTGTGGGAAATATCCCCTTTGATCATGGTCAAAAGAAGAAAAGATAAATAATCCTATCAGGCTTTTTTTTTTAATGCAAAATATTATTTATATTTGTGATGCACTTGTTAATGTTATTGTTATCGGCCCGATAAGAAAATTTGGCTGATATATTAAAGCCGATAAATAATGGATTATCTATTTATTGAGACACTTCAGATTCATCATGATAGTTTTGAATTGCTTGAAATATGATTAAAATCACTTCAAAAAGGAAAACACAGTTCAGTGCAACATGTGCAGCGAGTCTGTCATATCGGCTACATAAAACTATAATGAGAATATTATTATAATTGTGTGCTTGGGAATTGGATTTTAATGGTAAGACTGGTTTTTGTAAAATTGGCCAACATTTTCATATCGGTGCATCCGTATTTTATATGTATTTTGGCGTGAAATGAGCCAGGATTATATCATGCCTGAAGAAAACGGTTACATCTGTGATTTATAAATGCGAGCTGTTCATTCACTCTGTCATGATAAAACATTAAGCAACACATGCATGAATGTTTGCTGGAGTAATGCTGCTGGAATCACACTGTTGAACTTTACCTTGTGTTGTTGTGTTGGTGTTGTGTAGTTTGCTATGGTGGAGGTGATGGTGACCAGTCTGTTGGACAGTTACAGTAAACCCATCCTGAAACACCTCAAGCGCAAGGAGTTCGTTGTGCTCATCGTCTGCGGCGCGGCGTTCCTCATGGGCATCCCGAATGTCATGCAGGTCACATGATCTCTTTTACCTTATCTTACTTTCAGCTTTTATACTAACATTAAAGGTGCTGTATGTAGAATTGAGAAACTCTTGTTATTAGTGACACCGGTGGCCGTTAAGTGAACTGCAGCCGCACTTACTGCTCGAGATCACGTAACACACAAGAGACTGAACGTCATTCAAGACCAGGGCCCGTATTCATAAAGAATCTTAATGCAAAGAGTCGCTCCTAGTGACAAAATTCTTATAAATGTGGGCGTTTACTCTTAAAATTAAAGAAAAAATCCTATAGTAAAGAAAAAAGTAATTCAGAAAGCATCTTAACCCTTGAAGAGGTCTTAAGGTCTGAATTGTTAGAGGAGTACGGACGAGGACTTTTAAGAGGCTTAAAGGGTCACTTCACCCATTTGCATTAAGGTTTGTATTGTTAGAAACCCAGTCATATATTATAATGATGGTGGAATTTTGCTTGTTTTTTTTTCTGAGATGGGAGAAAAAAGGAATTAAGTGTTTTACTTGCGTCCTGTCGTGATGTAAATATCGTCATTTTGCGTCACGATAGGACGGAAGATAAATTTCATTGCATATTAAGAAAACTACAGCCTTTAGCTCATTATTATTCAAGGGCGTGGGACCCACTCACCCCACCGGCCTATTACAGATCAGTGGGTGGGACTAAACCTGAAGAAACTAAACTATTAATCCGCCATCTTGCTTGGAAGACAGCAAGCTAAGCTAACAAGCGCTCAAGGAGTTAGATTTACCATAATGCCTGAATTTACGACACACGATATGGAAGACGAGGATTTTGAAAATCTTTTGCTCGAAACTGATGTTCGTGGCTATTTATACGAGCCACAATACAGCGAAGTGTCGGATTGCCGACACGAGCGGGTAGAACGACAGGAGTCCGCCTCAACTCGAGCCAGTCCGGGCTCCTCGTCCGCGACAGGCAGGTCTTCTGCATCTGCTGCAGAAGCGCCAGCAGCCGCGCCCTGTTCCTCCATCAGCCAAATCAGAAGACCTGCCTGTCACGGACGAGGAGCCCGCACTGGCTCGAGTTGAGGCGGACTCCTGTCGTTCTACCCGCTCGCGTCAGATTGCCAACACGAGCGGGTAGAACGACATGACCAGTCCGCCTCAACTCGAGCCAGTGCGGGCTCCTCGTCCGTGACAGGCAGGTCACGGTCTCGCGTTCTTCTACCCGCTCGTGTCGGCAATCCGACTGAAATATCCAGCTCCAGATTGCCAGTACTGCGGGCACCAGTAAGTTGAGGAAGCTCAGGAGGAACTATTGTTGTTACTATTATATTGTTGAACTTTTATTGTTATCATAATTATTTTTGTTGATATCATTATTGAAATAAATGGTTCACATTTACGTTGTTTTCCTTATTAGTGTTTTATTCCACGTGTATGTTAGATAAATTTGGACGACCAACATTCCATCAGTGGAATTAATGTTACTAACCTACTGTTACCTTACATGATAATAGATAACAAAATAATGGTCATGCCTACATATTTTTATTCTTATTTTGCAAATCCAAATTGCATTACAATGTTCGGACTGAACATTCAACATAAATAGAAACGAGGAGTAATTCAATAATGATTTCGGCAACAAACTAGATTTTTTTTCTGTGAAATGAATTTCAAACTCTGGCGGCACCCAGCCTTGTAGACGGTAGAGTGCTTTCTCTGAATCTGATAGGCGGATACCTCCTCAGCATTGTTCTGGATTAGTGGGAGTGGCTTGCGGAGCTGTGCAATGTGGTGCATTGTGGGAGTTGTGGTTTTCAGTACAAATGCGCCCTAAAGTTACTTTCTGTCTTTACTCGGTCAAGAAGGCACCAAATTCGAAAATTTTATTATATTTCGACTACATATATAATTCATTACATTTATATAGCGCTTTTCTAGGCACTCAAAGCGCTTCACATAGAAGGGGGGATCTCCTCAACCACCACCAATGTGCAGCATCCACTTGGATGATGCGACGGCAGCCATATTGCGCCAGAACGCCCACCGCACACCAGCTTACTGGTGGAGAGGAGACAGAGTGATGAAGCCAATTAGTGTATATGAGGATGATTAGGAGGCCATGATGGACAGAGGCCACTGGGCAAATTTGGCCAGGATGCCGGGGTTACACCCCTACTCTTTCGAAAGACATCCTGGGATTTTTAATGACCACAGAGAGTCAGGACCTCGGTTTAACGTCTCATCCGAAGGACGGATATATGACCCACTTTCAATAAAGATGAATGTTCCCACGGGTGAAATGCTCCTTTAAGAGTTTCTTTAGCAGAGGAGAAAATGGCAGAAAGACGAAGAGGGAGAAGAAATGTGTTGCAGACAATGGATGACAGTGAGTTAATGAGACGCTATAGATGAGATCGTGCAGGGATCATGTTTGTGACTGATCTTATTATCTTATGATCATTCTAAGCCATTTAAATGCCTTATAGGAAATTAACAGCATGGTAAATAAAAAAAGGATTTATATACACACATATAATGTGTGTGTGTGTGTGTGTGTGTGTGTGTGTGTGTGTGTGTGTGTGTGTGTGTGTGTGTGTGTGTGTGTTTGTTTATGTCCATTTTGGGTACATTCACCAGGATACACACCAGTAAACTGAGGACCACCTCAAAAATTGAGGACATTTTGTATGTCCTCATTTGTTTGACTATATAATGGCATTCAGCATACTCTAAAATGGTGTCCAGACTTAAAATCTCACTTGTCCCAAAAAATCAGTTTTAAGTGATTTGTGTATGTGAAGTGTGTATGCCCCCCCACTAAAGTGTGTATAACACAGCGCCCTCTAGGAGTACTGCACTTCCGGAAAAGATACACACTTCGGGGATTCTGACCAATCAGAGCGCAGGAAGCCACTATGAGAGCGGGACTTAATGATCTGACCAATCTGAGGCCATCACGTCATCAACAAAAATGGCGGAGCGGAGGCGACATCATTATTATGAATGAATTGACAGATAATCCACATTCAATAATAGATAAATTCGCAATAATTATTATTTAAATAAAAATAGACTAATTTACCCTGAGCAGCAGGAGCTCTCACGATGTATATGTGCATGTTATTAAACTTTAATCCTCGCAGTTTTGCTCTCGCATCGGAGTCTGCTCTGTGTAACGTTATGTGTGTGTGAAGATCGCGCTGCTGCGCGTCACCGAGACTATACAGCTGTACAGTAACTTACATAGGAGTTTATTAATCATGTAGGAACGAGTTTGAAGCGGGGAAGAGACAGAGACATTACGTCATGTGAATTTACAAAGTACATATTTTCTTCCAAAAGCGGAGGAACAGCTGTTTAAATCTGTCAATATGGATGTGATGATTTATTCATCCAAGTTTGTTTAATAAAAACACACAAGCCACCAAAAGATGTGAAAACATGCTAAATCGCTTGCTTTTATGAGTGATTTTATTTGTTTGAAGTGTTTTCTCCTACTTTGCGTTCTGCCGTTTCCTCTCATAATATCAGTGATTTCCCTGAGCGGCCACCGCCCCTCCCCCACCCCCCGCACGAGCAGGACTCCGTTACCAGTTACCACAGCAACACATTCACTACAGCAAACAAGCTAACTTTTTTCTTTATATATTATATTATATTATATTATATTATATTATATTATATTATATTATATTATATTATATTATATTATATTATATTATATTATATTATATTGAGGAGAGCAGTTACAGCAAACATTATTCTTATTATATTATATTGCATTGTATTATTTTATATTATATAAAGAGGAGAGCAGTTACAGCAAACATTCTCTTTGTAGTATATATTATATTATTTTATATTATATTATATAGAGGAGAGCAGCTGCATGCAACATTCTCATATTATATTATTATATTAATTAAATGTTTACACTAATTACATACGTTTTTTTAAGGCGCTTTGGTGCATTTCTCAAATCACAACTAAAATTCTTGTTCAACCTCCACATCATCTAGTCACTTGTGCACATCATGAAAGCAGTTTATCATTCTTTTGAACAAATTGCAAATGCTTTGGTACATTCATGCAATAAATGTAAGTGTCTGCTGTTTCTTACATTATCAATTGCTTATGTCATGTTGATCAAAATGTATTATACTGGTTCTCTGTTGAATAGTCTTACCCCTCAAAACATATAGGCATTAAATTACTAGTTGTCATAAACTGTCAAACATATTTTCTATACAATTCTATTATACTTTTTTTGTCCTGAATTGCAGATGTGAATTTTGAATTTCACTAATGAAGGGGAATGTAAAGCATTAGATCAATCAATGATCACCAGTTCTCTATAATCGCTCAGAGTGCATCTCATGAAGCTTCCTCTGGAAGCCATATAGACAGAGCACAACACATACACACTCTGAGAATGGAAGAACAACAGGGTAACAGCCGAGAAGAAGAAGAGGAGGAGTAAGGATGTGTGGTGGAAGGATACAGAGGTAAAACAGAGAGATTGTAGGTTTCTGAAGAAATAGGGGCCAATATTGTAGATCATGTTCATGACCTCATGGCCGAGGCGGGTTGAAAGCTGAGCTGAATGTTGGGAGAACAACCGTATGTGTCCTCAAACATTCAAGTCTTTATAGACAGAACATGCGTGTAATCAGACAGTGTTCACTATACTGTACTGTTCACCATAAGCTGTAGACTTACTGTATTACAGTGGAGTCTACTTGCATTTTACATGAGACAGTAAAAATACGTGATAGAGATCCCTTTCCCACTAATTAGATATCTTAAATGATGTTGTGTGCACTTCTGTATTTGTCTTCATTGTTGTACAGCCTTGATGTTAATATTTTGTTGAAAAATTGTTAAGACCCCAGGAAGAATAGCTGCTGCTTAATGGAGTAGCTAATGGGGATCTAAATAATAAACAATAAACAATAAATTCTACAGATAAAGCGTTGTGAATCTAGTTTCGCGTACCTACCCCGAAGTGATAAAATAAAACAAAATTATGTATCAAATTTATAGACAAGTAATT